TTTAAAAAAAAAAAAAAGAGATTTATTTTGGGACTGGAGAAATGGCTCAGTGGTTAAGAACACTGACTGCTCTTCCGAAGGACCTGGGTTCAATTCCCAGCACCCACATGGCAGCTCACGACTGTCTGTAGCTCCAGTTCCACAGGAGCTTGCACCTTCACACAAGCATACATGCAGGACAAACACCAATGCACATGAAATAAAATAAAATGCTGGGTGGTGGTGGTGGTGGTGGTGGTGGTGGTGGTGGTGGTGGTGGTGCACGCCTTTAATCCCAGCACTTGGGAGGCAGAGCCAGGCGGATCTCTGTGAGCCTGGCCTACAGAGTGAGTTCTAGAAAAGGCTCCAAAGCTACACAGAGAAACCCTGTCTTGAAAAAACAAATTTATTTTCTATGTATGGGTGTTTTGTCTACATGTATGTGTGCACCACCATGTACAGCATGCTCAAACGGTCCAAAAGAGGGCATCAGATCCCCTAGAACTAGAGTTATGGACAGTTGTGAGTTGCCACATGGATGTTGAGTTCTAAACCCATCTCCTCTGGAAGAGCAACAGGTACTCTTAACCACTGAGCCATCTCTCCAGCCCCTGAGCTGCGTTTTTGAAGAGTGAGTAAGAGTTTTGTGTTGAGAAGTGATTTGGAAAAGACAGAAAAGTTGTGGCAGAACAGAGTGTGTCAGGGGGATGGTGAAGCCAGGCTGGGGACTGGAGGAGAAAGGGCAGAATGCCAGGATGGTGGCACATGCCTTTAGTCCTGGCACTCAGGAAGCAGAGACAGAGATGGAGGGCAGCCTGTATAGGGCAAGTTCCAGACAACAAGGGCTCAATAGTGATCCTGTCTCTAAACAAACTAAATAAACAAGCAAGTCAAAGAGATGGGCAAGAAAAGGGAGTGGAGATGTTGAAGTCATAGTAGAGGCTGGGCTTGTTCTGAGGGGAGGGATGGGGGTGCGCATCCTGCTCCTGGCCAGTTCGGAGGGTAAAGAGGTGGGAGGGACCAGAGGCTCTATCCAGGTGAGCTTCGATGGCCAGGAGGTGGCCAGTGCTTCAGGCTGGGCAGATGCGGGAACGGGAAGGCAGAGGAAGGACCTGCCCCCTGTGGTGTATGTATGGGGAGAGGTGGACACACACGATGGTGGGGCCCCCTGCCCAGTGAGATGTGGCAGGAGCAGGGGGCACGCGGGGGGCCCTCTTTCTGTGCTAGGGTAACAAGCCCAGGTCCCCGTCCCACCTCCCAGCCTCCTCCCCTGCAGCCCCAGCAGCACCTGGTTCTTTGGTTCTGACTTCAGGGCCGAGAAGCAGCTTCTGCTGTCCTGGTGCTAGTCACCTGGGAGTCCAGTTGGAGCCAGGGAAGGGCACAGAAAGGAACAGAGAGTGTACCTGGGCTAGGGGCCTGGCTTCTGTAATCTGCCAGCAGAAAGCCAGGCAGTTGAACTCGCAGCTGTCCTCCTGCCTTAGCACCTATGCTTGGATGCCCTGGTGGGAGCCTTACTGGTTACTGAGAAATGGCAGCCAGTGAAGCCAGGCCTGGGAGAGCAAACGGTCCTTCCTCCTCCTTCCATCAGCTCACCTACCTGGTCCTGGGGTGGCTCCGAGGGGAGGACCCAGGCTCTGCTGACCCTCCTTGACCTGGTGTCTGTCCTCCAGGCTCGGGAAGTTTGCTGTTTTCGTCCATGCCAATATGGCTGAGCTGCAGGTTCGAGACCTGAGCCTGAAGCTGCAGGGCATTCCGGGTCACGTGTTCCTGCTCCGGCTGCTGCACGGGCAGCGTGCCAGGCACCAGCTGCTGCTGAGAGCACGTACCGAGTAAGCACCCCAAACCCTGAGCAAGGGTCCTGCTGAAAACCCTTGGGGCAAAGAGCGAGGCTGGACAGCCAGAGCAGTGCCTGAATTCTGGCAGGCGGCACCAGCCACGGTGCCCCACTGCCAGGGAGGTGGCGCGCACAAGCAGTGGGGGTGGGTCTCAGGCCTGGAGCCTTGCGAGTAGCCCAGAATGTCTGGCCCTAACCATAACTCTCCCAGCCCAGGTTCCCAACCCTGCTCTTGTACCTTGCCTGTTATGACCATACTTCCCTCTCTGCAGAAGTGAGAAACAACGATGGATCTCAGCCTTGCGTCCATCCAGCCCCCAGGAGGACAAGGAGGTCACCTGTGATGGAGAAGGTAGGACCCAGAACCCTCTGGGGTGGCCCTGAGGACCACTGGGGGCTAGGCAGGGTGCACAGGACCACCCCATATGAACAGGCAACTCATCTTGCAGACAATGAAAGAGATTCAGAGAGGCCAAGTGCCTCATCCAGGTCCTCCCGGCTAGACCACAGCTCTGTCTGTCTGTCTGTCTGTATCAGTTGCAAAGCAGACAGGCCTGGTGTGTACAGAGTGCGGGGGTGGTGTCAGAGTGATAGTGGGTAGCAGGGTGAAGGGATGCTCAGCTGGGGTGGAGGCAGCTCCTTGGGTGTGACTAAGGCTGGCAAGCCAGGCTGTGTCTAGTTGGAGAAGATCTTGGCAGTGGGCAGTAGGTCGTCCCGGAAGGTGTTTGGATAAAGGGGTTGGGTTATCGGTCTGGGATGGGGAGGAAGGTACACTCCCAGCAAGTACCTGCTGTGGATGAGGCTGGGGTCTGAACTCTGTACTTTCACTCATTTTATTTAATCCTCATAGTGATCCTGTTAGCTGGATTCACTGTCTTCATTTTTCACACCTCTGAAAACCGAGGTTCAGAAAAGTTAAGCAATTTGCCCAAGGTCACACAGCCAATAGCTGGTAGAGCCAGGAATGGGGCCAGGTCTGGTCCCCCTCCCTCCCTCCCTTCCTTCCTTCTTCCCTTTTTGAGACGGAGTCTTGCTGTGTAGCCCAGGCTGGCCTTGAATTCGTAGCAAACCTCCTGCCTCAGTTTCCCTATTTACTGGTATTGGAAGGATAAGCCGCCACACCCAGCTCAAACTTGGTTGCAAAGCTCCTGCCCATCTACTCTGCCATAAGGAACTGGAATGGAACAGATTCTCTGGCTTGGGCTCAGTGTCCCACTGAGGCTGAGGACAAGCCCCCTCCTCCAGACAGAAGGGGGGAGGGAGGGCCTCCTGGCACATGGCTCTGAGGCAGAAGGCATCAGTCACTCAGGCGCCACAGGAGCCCTGTGTGGCTGGAACTGTGTGAGCCTGGGAGGGAAGAGGGCTGGGAGAGGAGGTGAGCCAGAGTGGGCCGTGTCAGCACGTGGAGCCTGTGGGTCTGGGGAGGTCTTTGGATTTGAACGTCAGACACCCAGAGGCCTGCCAAGGGCATTGGTGGGCACCTGGGGTTTGTGTGCGAGTCTAGAGGTCAACACAAGGTGTTGCAGTGAGCTGGGGAGGTCAGCGCCCTTCACCAAGAGCCTCAGGTTAGCGAGACTCAAGCCCGGGACGGGCAGGGAAGCTACTGTGGCCCCCTCCTTCATTTTCTCCTTCCTCCTGCCTCCCACCTCTGACCTGTGGCTCCTGGATCCTCTCTTGGCTCTCAGACTGCCCCCAGGTCCAGTGTGTGAGGACCTACAAGGCCCTGCAGCCGGATGAGTTGACCTTGGAGAAGACAGACATCCTGGCGGTGAAGACCCGGACCAGTGATGGTGAGAACCAGGCTTTCCTGACAGCCCTCTTGAGGGGCAGAAGGAGGAGGGGCCGATGACCAGCCTGTCACAAGGGAAGGTTATGCGAGTGGTGATCAACCACAGCAGCATTTGGGAACCCAGTTAGACCAGAGGAGGAACTTCCCGCTTGAGAATGGAGAGTGATGGGGGAGAGCGGGAAAAAACCTTCTCAGAGAGGTGGGGGTCCTTCCCGGGAGCTGGTGATGCTATGGTAATGTCACCCGGCTCCAGGCTGGCACCAGGCCCAGTTCCTTCTCGGGCCTCCCCAGCACTCATCCCATGCCACTGATCCTGACTGCTGTGTTCCTAGGCTGGCTGGAGGGCGTGCGGCTGGCTGATGGTGAGAAGGGGTGGGTGCCACAGGCCCACGTGGAGGAGATCAGCAGCCTTAGTGCTCGACTTCGAAACCTCCGAGAGAACAAGAGGGTTACCAGTGCCAGCAGCAAGCTGGGGGACCCGCCTGCCTGATGCTCGCCTGGGGCCCAGCTGGGTCCACTCCTGTGCCCTAGGCTTCTGTGTGTCTGGGGGCTTCTCTGCAGGTGCTGGGTGGTAACAGTTCTGTAAATACACCCTGGCTGCCTCTGCTTGCAGTCTGACCTGAGGGCCTTTGCATTGGCTTCTGTGCCTGGAGAGCCCCGCCCCATCAGGAGGGTGCTAGCTGTCTCTAGGTGCCCTGAGGGCAGAGGGGCCGTGTGTCAACCTGCTACTTTCCCTCCAAGTAGCAAAGTGTCAGATCCAAGCAGGCTTGAGTATTAAAGTGACTCCATGAGTTTTTGTAGTTGACTCTTGCGGCTTATGCTAAGAAAGCACCACCAAGAGGGGTGGCGGGTGGGATGGAGGGAGTGAGGGATGGGGCTTGAAACTATTCCACTGCAGCTCAGAGGCTGGGCTCTAAAATCAGCCTCCTTGGCTGAGCTCCAAGTGGAGTTGTTCTGGGCCCCATCAAGGTCTCAGGAGGGAATTGCTCTTTGCCTCTGTGTGCTTGGTGGTTGCCAGTGAACTGCACTTGCAACCATATCCCAGTCTCATTGTATGTCCTGTCTCCCTCCTGCTGTGAACCTATGGCTTCATTTGGAGTTCACCTAGACCATCTCTCCATTGGCAAAACCATCTACTGATACACTTCTCCCATGTTTTTCTGCTTAAAAACATTATTTTAGAGATTTATTTATTTAGGTTTTTTTGAGACAGGGTTTCTCTGTGTAGCTCTGGCTGCCCTGAAACTCACTCTGTAGACCAGGTTGGCCTTGAACTCAGAGATCCACCTGCCTCTGCCTCCCCAGGTCTGGGATTAAAGGTATGTGATTTATTTTATTTTATGTGTATAGATGTTTTGTCTGTATATAGGTATGTGCACCATGTGCATGCAGTACCTGGGAAGGCCAGAAGAGGGCAACAGATCCCTTGAAACTGTAGTTACAGATGATTGTGAGCCACTGTGTGAGAGCTGGGGACCAAACCCATGTCCCAGCCAGTGCACTTAACCCCTGAGCTACCTCTCCAGCCCCCGACATACACTTTAAAGTATGTAACATTTGCCAGGAGATGATGGTACACTCCTTTAATCCCAGCACTGGGGAGGCAGAGCTCTGAGTTTGAGGCCAGCCTGGTCTACAGAGTGAGTTCCAGGACAGCCAGGGCTACACAGAGAAACCCTGTCTCAAAAGGAAAAAAACCAATTCACAAAAACAAAAAGATGTAACATTCATAAGTCCCTGGAATATGGACATAAACATACATTGCAGATATTTTTCAGCCCGTCACAGATATTTTTCATCACAGATCTCAACAAAAGTGAGGAAGAAAACTGAGCTTCAGGCCAGGCTGGATCAAGCGGTTCATGGCTGAAGACCCAGCTCTTCCTGTCTCCCCGTTCTAGCTCTTACTATTAGCATCCTCCACAGGCTTCTCCAGGCCCTGCATGGAAGAAAACTGGCAGAATTTCCAGGTGGAGTCCTGGAAGTCTCTGTGATTGGACCAGCTTGGGTCCTGTGGTTTCTTCTGGACTGATCTAGGCCTAGTGTGTGCTGATAGGCCCTACTAAGTGTGGGGCCTTTTTTTCTGTCACTGAAAAAAAAAAAAAATGCCTGAGATAATCAATTTATGAAGAAAAGTTTGAGTCCCCAGAGGTTTCAGTCCACAGTCACCTGGCCTGGTGCTTTGGGCTTGTGGCAGCCCAGTAGTTCGTGGTGAGTATGCCTGGCAGACAGAGGGAGGGTGGGGTCTCTATATCCCCTCCCAGGCATGCCCCCAATGATTTAATACCTCCCAGGCAGACTTGCCTCTAACACTGTTAGAGGTGTTAGACCACCTCTAACACTGCCTCAGGCTGTGACCCTTCAGTCCCTTGGTCTCTGGGAACATTCAGATGCACAGTCGGCCCTGTGCACAGTCCCAAGAGCCAAGCTGAGCACCTCTGACCTGGAGTCCCATGGGTCTCTGCGTATAACCGGCTGCCGGGGCAACGCAGCTGACCCAGAGGGCGGAACGCCTCGGGGAATTAGCTGTGAACAGTTGGGGTTAGCATGGTGGTGCACACCTGTAATCCCGGCACTAGAGAGACAGGGGCAGGTGGACCTCTGTGAGTCCCAGGACAGCCAGAGCTACATAGTGACATTCTGTTCCTCCAAAAAAGGGGAGGGGGAGGAACAGAAGAGGTTGGTGGCCCTAGCCATGGGTGGCCAGGAAGGAATGCTGAGCAGGACTTTAGGATGATGTGGGATTGTGTCTTCCTCCTCCTCCTCCTCCTGCTTGTCCTGTTTCCGAAGGATACACTCCACCTCCGAGTCCAAACCCCAGTCTCTCTTTGGTTTTATTAGTGTTTTTAGACAGGGCGATGTAGTCCAGGCTGGCTCAAACTCACAATGTAACTGAGGATGACCTGAACAGGAGTCCTGCCTCCTCTTGCCTACACCTCCCTAATGTTCCTTGCTCAGTTTGGTTTTATTGATTTTTTAAAAATTATTTATTTATTTATTGGCAAGGTCTCCAGCTCAAACTCCCTACACAGCCCAGGATGAGCTTGAACCCCTAACCCTCCTGCGTCCACCTCCCAGTGCTGGGATTACAGACCTGTGCAACCACATCAGGTTCCTATGGTGCTGGGGGTGGACACAGCTTTGTGCAAGAGGCAAACCCTCCCAACTGAGCTGCGCCTCGGCCCCGGGGCTGGTTTTGTCCTTTGGGAGCCTCCCTGAAGCCCAGGCGGGCTTTCCTCCTCTCCCTCTGTGCCCACATGACCCGGTTGCCTGGCGCCGGCAGCCTGGGTTTCACGTTTGCCACACATGCCATCTCCTGTCCACCCTCTCACTTCCCTGTCTGTCAGACTCGGCTTCTCAGTTTTCCCTTGTTTTTCCTGACCTGGGCAATTTTGAGGCACTCTGGTCGGTATTTTGTAGACCATCCTGCAATTTTGGTGTATCTGATGTTTTTCTCATGACGAAGCAGGAGTGACTGCGGCTTTTGGGCAAGAACACCACAGAGGTAAACAGAGTCCTCGGCTCATGCAGTCAGGAGGCACGTGACGGCCACATGGCTCACCACGGGGGCTGGGTTTTTTTCTTTCCTCCCCACCTCCTCTTTTTTAGTATGGTAGTCCAGGCTAGCCTCAAACTCAAGGCAATCCTTAGACCTCTTCTTCCCTTCCCAAGTGCTGTCATGACGGAGATGAGCCTCCAAGTCCAGATGATGTTGATTAAAAAAAAAAAGTTTTAGAGAGGGTCTCAGTGTGGCCTAATCCTCCTGCCTCCACTTCCTGAGTACTTGGATAACAGACACATGCCCTCATACCCCGCATTCAAAAACCATTTGGGGAGATGCTAGAGATAGATACTTGGCTCTTCCTGTTTCCCTCCCTCCCTCCTTTCTTTCTAGGGCTGGAGATGGAACCCAGAGCCCCACACAAGCCAGGCAAAACCTCCAGCACTGTCCTAGACCCAAAGGCCCTCCTGGATCAGGTGTCTCCATGTGTCACTGTGTTCTTCCACCATGCAGGTCCACCCCTTCAGTCCAATCTGTCAGCCTGTCCTGTCTGTCAGCGTGGACTCCTCATTCTTTGGATTGCCATCCATTATCATAGTGTTTACTTTCATTCTCCTTGTTCTAGCTAGCTGGGTGTGGTGACGCACACCTGCAATCCCAGCATTCCCCTGGAAGGGTGAGGGACTCACGCAAGGAGGCCAGCCTGAGCTACATAGTAAAACCCTTCTGTCTGAAAAAGGCGGGGAGGGTTGGAGCGGAGAAGAGACATAACTTAGTCAGTGAGTGCCCGACAGCACCGACGTGGCCCTGAGCTGGATTCCTGTACTGCTAAGAGCAGGTGGGATGGCGCCGGCCACGCCAACACTCAGAGGAGAGGGAGGGGACAAGGAATTCAAGGTCACTTTTGACCACATTCTGATTCAGGGCCAAGCATGGGTTGTATGCAAGACCCTAACCATGAACTTTCTGGGGTTCATCCTGTCCCGTATGTGCAGCATCCTCTCGGGGCTCACACTACAGGATGCTCCAGGCTCAAGTCCTGCCCAGACAGAGACTCGGTCAAGGAGTGTGGCTCTTTTCAAAGTTTGGACAGTAAATTTAGAAAGTGTGTTCATTGCTGCTGAGGTGCTACTGCCTCTGGGCCTTACAGAAGGAAATACATCTATACATTACACATGTTTATTATATTGGGGGGGGGGTCAGAGGACAAATGCAAGGAGCAAGTTCTCTCCTCCTACCTGTGGGTTCCAGGGGGATTGAACTCAGGTCATGAGGCTTGGTGGCAAGCACCTTTATCTGCTGAGCCAACGTGCTGGCCCAAATTCATACATTTCATATCCTCATACCGTGAATCTTGGAAGGCATCAAGCCGCTTTAAGGCTTTCTGTTTCAGCTGTAAACAGGGACGACAACAGAGCCCAGATGGATAAAGTTGGTGAGAGCGACAAGCTCTGGAAGACGTACAGACAATGGAGGTTTTGTTGTTAGAGCTTCTGGCCAAAGCAAAGGGCTTCCTTCCCTCCGGCCCCTGAGGACTCCAGCCACTCAGGCCAAGAGTGCGAGTCCCTCATGAAGTGTGGACCAGGCCTCTGAAATCCTCCAGTGTCGAGTCTCACTGTACCAGGGCAGCTAAGGCTGTCACCTCCCACAGAGTAGAGGGGGAAGCTGTGCAGGGTGTGGCATGAATAATCCCAGCACTCAGGAATGAGCACAGGCAGGCAGAGCTCTGTGAGTTCAAGGCCAGCCTGGTCTACAGAGTGAGTGCCGTGCTAGCCAAAGCCATACAGTGAGATCCTGTCTTCAAAAACAGGAGGATGCGGGCCAGTAGTGGCACATACCTTTAATCCTAACACTGGAGAGATGGGACAGGGGCAGGTGGATCTCTCTGAGTTCAAGGCCAGCCTGGTCTACAAAGCAAGTTCCAGGACAGCTAAGGCTGCTAAGGCTGTTACATAGAGAAGCCCTGTCTCCAGAAAGAGAGAGAGAGAGAGAGAGAGAGAGAGAGAGAGAGAGAGAGAATAGAGGAAGGATGCTCCCGGCATCTGGGTTGCCTGGCACACCTGGACTCAGCTGGCTGAGAGTCCAGGCTACATACTTGGAGAGCCTGGGCTGATCTGGCACATGCAGCCAGGCAGAACCAATGTTGCAGATCTCCATCTCCAAGGGGCCCATGCCCCACTCTCCACCTCCCCCCTCCAGGCAAAATTACAGGGTGCACCTCCCTCTGAGATGCCTGCCTCTGCCCAGGAGGCCCTGACCTGGCAACCAGCTTTGGCTATGGACCCAGGGCCCTGCCTCTGCTT